CCATGGGTTGCAAACTTCTTGATAATGTTGCGCACTGTGGACAAAGGCAAATCTAGTTCTCTGGAGATGGACTTGTAACCTTGAGATTGTTGATATTTTGCCACAATTTTGGTTCTCAGGTCCTCAGACAGTTCTCGTCTCCTCTTTCTGTTGTCCATGCTTAGTGTGGCACAGACAGACACACAATGCAAAGGTTAAGTGAACGTCTCTCCTTTTTATCTGCTTTCAGGTGTGATTTCTATATTGCCCACACCTGTTACTTGCCCCAGGTGAGTTTACAGGAGCATCACATGCTTGTAACATTCTTATTTATCCGCAGTTGTGAAAGGGTGCCAATACTTTTGTCCAGCCCATTTTTGGAGGTTTGTGTGACATTATGTCGAATTTGCTTTCTTTCCTCCCTTTTTTTGTTTTGTCCCAATACACACAAAGGGAATAAACATGTGTATAGCAAAACATGTGTTAATGCAATACGTTTCGTGAGAAATACATGATTTCCTGTGTATGTGTTGTTGTATGTGTGTATATATGTGTGTGTTTATGTGTTTTTTGTATATGTGTATGTATGTGTGTTTTTGTTTTTTTATGTGTGTTTGTGTGTGTGTGTTATGTGTGCACGTAAGTAACACGTTGACCTAGAAAGGCTCTCCTGGGTTAGCGGCCATCATCGCGGCCGTCATCGCGCCCATCATCGCGGCTATCATCGCGGCTATCATCGCGCCCATCATCGCGGCTATCATCGCGCCCATCATCGCGGCTATCATCGCGGCTATCATCGCGGCCATCATCGCGGCCATCATCGCGCCCATCATTGCGGCCATCATCCCAGCCATCATCGCGGCCATCATCGCGGCCATCATCCCGGCCATCATCGCGGCCATCATCCCAGCCATCATCGCGGCCATCATCGCGGCCATCATCCCGGCCATCATCGCGGCCATCATCGCGGCCATCATCCATGCCATCATTGTGGCCATCATCCCGGCCATCATCCCGGCCATCATCGCGGCCATCATCGCGGCCATCATCCCGGCCATCATCCCGGCCATTATCGCGGCCATGGCGCTTCATACAAGCGAATGTCTGCGAAGAATCAATTCCACAAAGATAATGAAATGGAAACTTCCACTTTTAATAAAACTTCACCAGGAACTCGCCGCGTTTCAGATGGCTCCTCGCTCCTCCCTCGTCGGGCGCAATAATGGCAAACCTTCACGTCTTGATTTCTGATGCGCTTTAATAAAGCCGGCACTGAGACGTGTGTTTTCGGTGCGCGGATCTTAGATTGTCAAAAACCCAGCGTGGCGGGAGAGTAGATGTCAACGCGGAGCGCTAACAAGAAACACGCGAGGCGCTCACCTGAGATGACAGACTTGCGGCACGTCTGTGGCAGTGATGAGGAGCTCTTCATGTTCCGGAGCTCATTGATGTCACATCAAAAGTCACTCATTATTATTGGACATCGCGCCGCGATCTTCCCCGGGACAAGCGCTGATGTGAAAACGCAACAAGGACTTTGAAGAGGGGAGGGGGGTGTCACCCAAAATTGACGATTTAGACGGGTCAGTCCTAGAAGGTCTTATCAGGCATTATGGTGGAAAAAAATCAGCTGATTGTAACTGTAGGTTAAGGAGGAGGAGGCATTTCCTCAGTCTCCCCTCCCCCAGTAATCAGACTGTACATTGTAACTTTGTAGAAGGAGGAGGCATTTCCTCAATCTCCCCTCCCCCAGTGATCAGACTGTACATTGTAACTTTGTAGAAGGAGGAGGCATTTCCTCAATCTCCCCTCCCCCAGTGATCAGACTGTACATTGTAACTTTGTAGAAGGAGGAGGAGGCATTTTCTCAGTCTCCCCTCCCCAGTGATCAGACTGTACATTGTAACTTTGTAGAAGGAGGAGGCATTTCCTCAATCTCCCCTCCCCCAGTGATCAGACTGTACACTGTAACTTTGTAGGAGGAGGAGGAAGCATTTCCTCAGTCTCTGCTCTCCCAGTGATCAGACTGTACATTGTAACTTTGTAGAAGGAGGAGGAGTCATTTCCTGAGCCTCCCCTCCCCCAGTGATCAGACTGTACACTGTAACTTTGTAGAAGGAGGAGGAGTCATTTCCTGAGCCTCCCCTCCCCCAGTGATCAGACTGTACACTGTAACTTTGTAGAAGGAGGAGGAGGCATTTCCTCAGTCACCCCTCCCCCAGTGATCAGACTGTACACTGTAACTTTGTAGAAGGAGGAGGAGGCATTTCCTCAGTCTCCTCCCCCAGTGATCAGACTGTACACTGTAACTTTGTAGAAGGAGGAGGAGGCATTTCCTCAGTCACCCCTCCCCCAGTGATCAGACTGTACATTGTAACTTTGTAGAAGGAGGAGGAGGCATTTCCTCCGTCTCCCCTCCCCCAGTGATCAGACTGTACATTGTAACTTCGTAGATGGAGAAGGAGGAATTTCCTCAGTCTCCCCTCCCCCAGTGATCAGACTGTACATTGTAACTTTGTAGCATGCCACAAGGTGAGAGACTGAAGCAGGGGCTGATCTGTGTCAAACATTTGTGAACACAGCTAAGAACTGCCCAGGCACCGGGATTTACACGATTGTGTCATCTCTGAGTCCAGGAAGCAGATGGTCACCCTGGATGATGCCTGAACAAAGATGGTGTCGTCCTTCTGGAGAGAAAAGCAGATGAAGCGTTTATTCTCTGTGGGAACAAACACCTGGAGCAGGGGCGGACTAACCATTTGGAAACTCAGGCACTGCCCGAGGGCCCGGGGTCAGTAGGGGGCCCCATGAGATGCCCCTGGTACCTTTTTCATAGGCTTTTTTGAGTTTGGGCAAGGACACAGGGGCCCCATGATCCCCTATTGCCCGGGGGGCCCCATGAGTTGTCAGTCCGCCCCTGTCCTGGAGGGGTCACCCTGACACCTTCCAGGCATTGAACAATGTATGTGATGACAGGTCCTCTTTAAGAGGCCCGTTTCCTGCGTCGGCGGGGTGGCGCTCCTCCCTCCGCCGCGTTTAACTTCATACCAGAAAGATGGAATCTAATGATGAAAACAATGAAGAAATCGTCTTAGATCGTTCCTCTAATTAGTATTTTGTTTCCTCGTTATTTTTAATTGTTCGCGTTGTTTCCTTTAATCGGTTCTTTGTGGCGCCGTGAGCGCGTCGCGGCATTTTATGCGTACAGTAACACCGGGCAATTATCTATTACGGACCCCCCTCCGGCGAGACGCGTAAAGTCCAATTTGATCGAATTTAAATCGGTCCCCCCCCCCCCCCTCCCCCCCCCCCCCCCTCGGGCTTCGGTGATAAAAGTTGGAAATGAAGTTTTTCCATCCCAAGGAGAAGAAGATGAAAGCGACGGCTTCTCCCCTCCCCCCCCCCCACCTCTCAGGATGCGGCGACGGCTGACACGACGATTGCGGCGGCGGCGGCCTCCTGTGCGACGCAGCTGTGGAAAGATGACAAGTGAGACTTTTTAAGCGGGCAGCCCAGGCCGCTGGAACCGCTCAATCCTTCTGTCCTTGCCAATGAGAGCGCCCCCCCTCCCCCCCCCTCGCCGACCGACAAAACAGATGGCACCTGATACAATTAGGGCGAGTGCCAGCAGCAGGCATTGTTCGCGCAGCCGAGCGTTGCGGGGGGAAGACGCTGAAACCGCCGTTTCAGAGACTTTTGTTTTGCAGGAGACGGCAGCGCCGGAGGCGACGTTGGGAATATTACTTTGAAAGACGCAAAAATGTAAAAAAAAAAAATGCAGATTTGTGCCGTACACTTGGGAAGGGGGTGGGGGGGGGGTGGTCTTTTAAGAGTTAAAGGGGCAGTCCGCTCAAATTCGATGTTTTTTAGATTCAGCCGTCTGCCGGCGGCTTCTCGAGGGCTCTTGTGGTGAAATTAAATTTCCGCACTCGAGTTTGCAGCTGCCGCTGTTGTAAGGAGGGACTGGCTCTGCCGATGGAACCGCAGATGCATTTAGGTGATGGAGAGAGCAGCTGGAGAAGTGGGCGGAGCTGGGAACTACCGCTGCATTGTCCTTTTTTTTTTTTTGAGAAGAAGTTCCAGAGACGGGATGAGATTGCAAGCCCTTGGTGGAACGTTGAACGCTTTGGGGGCCATTGGGGGGCCATTGCAGAAGACACAGGACATTCTGCACGGAGGAAAAGGGGTTCTATAAAAGTACTTTTGGTCCTCTTAATCATGGCTCCGCCCCCCTCCGCCGGCATTTTTGATTGTCCGGCGGATGTGTAGATGGAACCTGATAGAGCCTTGCAGCGTGTTGTTTTAGGCACTGCCATACCTCCTTAAACCCAGTCTGTCCAGACCATGTGGTCACCTGCCGCCATCCACAGGCAGCTTTACTCTTCAGTAAGACATGGGAGTTGAACCCCAACCAGGGGCAGACTGACCATTTGGGCTCTCGGGCACTGGCCAAGCGCCCGGGGTCAGTAGGAACCGGAGAGAGCCTTGCAGCGTGTTGTTTTAGGCACTGCCATACCTCCTTAAACCCAGTCTGTCCAGACCGTGTGGTCAACTGCCGCCATCCACAGGCAGCTTTACTCTTCAGTAAGACATGGGAGTTGAACCCCAACCAGGGGCAGACTGACCATTTGGGCTCTCGGGCACTGGCCAAGCGCCCGGGGTCAGTAGGAACCGGAGAGACCCTTGCAGCGTGTTGTTTTAGGCACTGCCATACCTCCTTAAACCCAGTCTGTCCAGACCATGTGGTCACCTGCCGCCATCCACAGGCAGCTTTACTCTTCAGTAAGACATGGGAGTTGAACCCCAACCAGGGGCAGACTGACCATTTGGGCTCTCGGGCACTGGCCAAGCGCACGGGGTCAGTAGGAACCGGAGAGAGCCTTGCAGCGTGTTGTTTTAGGCACTGCCATACCTCATTAAACCCAGTCTGTCCAGGCCATGTGGTCACCTGCCGCCATCCACAGGCAGCTTTACTCTTCAATAAGACATGGGAGTTGAGCCCCAACCAGGGGCGGACTGACCATTTGGGCACTGCCCGAGGGCCCAAGGTCAGTATGGGGCTCCATGAGATGCCCCTGGTACCTTTCATAGGCTTTTTTGGGTGTGGTTTTAGTGTGGGTGAGGACACAGGGGCCCAATGATCCCCTATTGCCCGGGGGCCTCATAAGTTGTCAGTCCGCCCCTGACCCCCAAAGCGATTTTACTTCAGCTAATTGCAGCACACAGTATGTTTTATCCAGCCTTTCCTAAAAAGAAAACGGCCTACTAAGCCCTGTCTCTGTGCATACCTAACACTGACTGGAAGAAGTACAAAGGGTCTAGCTAGGACTGAACAGGAGGGGAGGACAGAGGAAGATACCAAAATCCCATTAGTAAACAAGCTGTTGTTGCCCAAAACCACCAGTAGATGTCAGTATACTAACAACCTAATGTGGTTAAATAGAACAAAATAAAAGACATGAAAATGGAGCAGGACATGGCACATGTGTGCACATGCCAACTTCAACATACATGTGCAGAAAAACAGTTTCCATATCTACATGTTCTCACACATGTGCAGACGTGCCAAAAGCCTCTGATTGGTCCCAAATGCTGGGCAGAACCCTCCGACACATCTGCACACGCATGAGCGTCATTCTCGGTTAGGTGAGAAAATTAAAAAAGCAGTAAAGAAAGAAAATATCTATTTGTGGGAGAGGGAAAAGGGGGTGGAGCCAGGTCCACTTTAACCTCCTCACATGGAAAAGCTTCTTTGCAGTAAAAGCTGTGAAAGTGCAAAATTAGTCTTTCCCAAGACCAAAGGGAGGTTGCCGCTGCAAGTCCACAATCCACGTATTTCTGGATTGTGCTGATGGTGCTCCTCAATGTTCCCCATGTGGAATGAGCCAACAAGCTGACTGCACTCCTAAGTACATCGGCTGTCACAAAGCTTTATGATTCCATGACGAGACCACAAAAGGATCCACCTGGACCCTGTGATTAGGCCCTTCAGGTGAAACATGTCAGAGTGAAGCTTGGTCTGGGCCAGCCATTCTCAACCAGGGTTCCTCCAGAGCAGCCATTATCAGCCAGGGTTCCTCCAGAGCAGCCATTCTCAACCAGAGTTCCTCCAGAGCAGCCATTAACAGCCAGGGTTCCTCCAGAGCAGCCATTATCAGCCAGGGTTCCTCCAGAGCAGCCATTCTCAACCAGGGTTCCTCCAGAGCAGTCATTCTCAACCAGAGTTCTGTGGAGCTTTAGGGTTTCTCCAGAGGTTTGCTAGGGGTTTCTTGAACTGTGATTGAGTCACCTCCTATTTGGTGGTGCCTACATAGTTCCTGGGCCAATGATACTTGAAAGAGCCAATGGTAAGACACCAAGGACCTTTTAAGCTGTCTGAAAGGTGGCATTCTGACTACCACTGTAAGGTAGGCATTCTTCCAACTGGCCACCAAAGTGAGGTGGACAGTCTTTTTATTGACCACCACTGGATGGGGACAGAGAGGACAGTCTTCTCATTGACCACCACTGTACAAGGGCATAGAGGACGGGTTTCTCATTGACCACCACTGTAAGGGGACATAGAGGATGGTCTTCTCATTTACCACCATTGGACAGGGACAGAGAGGACAGTATTCTCATTGACCACCACTGTACGGGGACAGAGAGGATGGGTGTCTCATTGACCACCACTGTACGGGGGATATAGAGGACAGGCTTCTCATTGACCACCACTGGACGGGGACAGAGAGGACAGTCTTCTCATTGACCACCACTGGACGGGGACAGAGAGGACGGGTTTCTCATTGACCACCACTGGATGGGGACAGAGAGGATAGTATTCTCACTGACCACCACTGTACGAGGCATTGAGGACAGGCTTCTCATTGACCACCACTGTACGGGGACATAGAGGACAGTCTTCCCATTGACCACAACTGTACGGGGACAGAGAGGACAGTCTTCTCATTGACCACCACTGTACGGGGACAGAGAGGACAGGCTTCTCATTGACCACCACTGTACAGGGACAGAGGACAGGCTTCTTATTGACCACCACTGTACGGGGACAGAGAGGACAGTATTTTCATTTACCACCACTGTAAGGGGACAGAGAGGACAGTCTTCTTATTGACCACCACTGTACGGGGACAGAGAAGACAGGCTTCTCATTGACCACCACTGTACGGGGACAGAGAGGACAGTCTTCCCATTGACCACCACTGTAATGGGACAGAGAGGACAGTCTTCCCATTGACCACCACTGTAATGGGACAGAGAGGACAGTCTTCTCACTGACCACCACTGTAAGGGGACAGAGAGGACATTCTTCTCATTGACCACCACTGTACGGGGACAGAGAGGACAGTCTTCTCATTGACCATTAGTGTATGAGGACAGAGAGGACAGTCTTCTCATTGACCACCAGTGTACGAGGACAGAGAGGACAGTCTTCCCATTGACCACCACTGTAATGGGACAGAGAGGACAGTCTTCTCATTGACCACCACTGAAAGGGGACATTCCTCCCACTGACTACCTAAGTAAGGGACATTCTTCCCACTGGCCCTGATAAATCGGTTTAGCCCTGGTTCCCCTAGACCTACAAATGTTTTAAAAGGGTTCCTTGGGGGTATAAAGGTTGAGATTGGCTGCTCTAGAGGCTTCTAAGGGTTCCTTGAGCATTTTCTGTCTCTCCGATAAGTGGCCATGACACCAATTTATTTAACCATCTGTACGGGGGAGATTCTTCCTGCTAATCACAAATATGAGGAGCATTCTTCCTATTGACCATCACACTAATGTATTCGCTGTAGATGAATAAATTATTAGGATTTCCTGATTCCAAACTTATCTCCGAGGGTTCCTCTGATGTTGAGAAATGCTTGGTCTAGGCAGACGTTTCTTGTCCTTGTGAAGGCTGATGTCATTTGGAGTGTGGTCGGCTTGCCTGTCTTTCTTGGGATTCGGTTTGGGCCAGATTGGTAGAAAACGGCTGAATATGTTTCTTGATTTACAAAACATAAATGGATATTGATAAAAATCTAATACTAAATATTGATCCAGGGAGGATCCGATCTGTTTGGGGATCAATATGGATTTTTTTCATGGTTGGACCACGCTTCCTAAGGGTTTTCCTTCCTTTAGGTCAGTTGCCGGTTTGGGGTTCTGTGGATGCAGAGCTTACATTTATTTTTGTCTTTTGGTTCAACTTGAACTTCATGGACTTGTGTCCTTTTCCACCCCTTGTGACTCTGTAATCATCATCCAGTCACCTTTGCTGTCGTCTCTGAGGTCTCCCGAAGTTTCAGACTTCAGTCACACACGTCTTCCATCATTTTCATCCATCTCTACAAAGAGAACCTTCTCAGGCTTTGGTGAAGCTGAACTAGATTGCACCATTTTGTAGATTGTTCTACCTCCACATTCCACATCAGTTTCCAAGTGCAATTCCCACACCGTATTGCTGACACTACGTGAATCCGTGGAAGGGGCCCTTGATTCGTTTTGTAGGCTGGATTTAGAACTAAATGAACTCCTGAAGGCCTCCATGTGCTATGCTCAGCTCCCTACAGCAATGCCCTCTCTACGGTGCCTTCACAAAGTGAACTGGTGAAAGGGTCCTTCAACCGAACCCTCGATTCAGTTTGTATGTTGGATTTCCACTCCATATTGCCTTCACCAAGTGACCCCTTTGACCCCATAGTTGCTTTTCCTCCAATTCCTACATTCCCTTTCCTAACGCAATGCCCACTCCTTTTGAACCCTTTGTTTTACCTCCATATGCCTTGATCATTTTCCTAGTTCTATTCCCTCTCTATGGTAAAGGGGTCCTATCAGAGTCTCCTCTTAGATCATGGTCCCCATCACAGGCCAAACTAACATCAGAAGTTCTCATCAGAGTCACCCCTTACAACAGTTGTCTTCACAGTCCCACCTTACATCAGGTGTCCCCATCAATGCCCCTTACATTATCTGTCCTCATCATAGTGCCCCCTTACATCAGGAGTCCTCAGAATTGCCCCTTACGTCAGATTTCCCCCTTACATCAGGAGTCCTTAGAGTTCACTCTTACACCAGGAGTCCTCAGAATTCCCCCTTACATCAGATTCCTCAGATTTTCCCCTTACATCAGGAGTCCTCAGAATTGCCCCTTACATCAGGAGTCCTCAGAGTTCCTCCCTTACATCAGGAGTCCTCAGAGTTCCCCACTTACATCAGAAGTCCTCAGAGTTCCTCCTTACATCAGAGTCCTCATAATTCCCCCTTACATCAGGTGTCCTTAGAGCTCCCCCCCTTACTTCAGGTATCCCCATCAGTGCCCCTTGCATCATCTGTTCTGATCAGAGTGCGCCCTTACATCAGAGGTCTTCAGGGTTCCCTCTTACATCAGTAGTCCTCAGCATGCCCCTTTAGATCAGGAGTCCTCAGAGTGCCCCCTTAGATCAGGAGTCCTCGGCGTGCCCCTTTAGATCAGTAGTCCTCAGCATGCCCCTTTAGATCAGTAGTCCTCAGAGTGCCCCCTTAGATCAGGAGTCCTCAGAGTGCCCCCTTAGATCAGGAGTCCTCAGAGTGCTCCCTTACATCAACTGTCCCCATCAATGTGCTGCTGTACTTTTCAGGCCCAGGGAGGCAAAGGCTGGGAGACGGGAAGTGAAGCAGGCCACAGGGGTGGAAGAAGGAAGTTTCCACCTCCATCCGCCTATAATGGGGGGGGGGTAAACTCCTGATGTTGATTGTTAGGATGTTGGCGGTCCTAACTAACTAACCACTGTGGAAGAGAGTGGGGGGAACCCGTGTTGGGGCTTCAGGATTGGATTCTGGCTCACAGATCTGGTAGAGGGGCATAACTAAAATCTGGGTGCCCCAGAACCCCCCCCCCCCGGATCCAGGTCCTGGTTTAGATACACTGGAAGGGGTCTAAAGAATTCCTTTGCCAGTTCTCTCATGGACCCCTGCGCTCACCACGACCCAACCAGCCAATCGCGGACCCCTGCGCTCATCACGACCCAACCAGCCAATCGCGGACCCCTGCGCTCATCACGACCCAACCAGCCAATCGCGGACCCCTGCGCTCATCACGACCCAACCAGCCAATCGCGGACCCCTGCGCTCATCATGACCCAACCAGCCAATCGCGGACCCCCCTGCACTCATCACGACCCAACCAGCCAATCGCGGACCC